AAGCTTGTAACAGTAAAACAAGCTCCTGGAGTACTTAAATTCTGTTGGTTTTTCATTCTGCTGTTTTCTTTCATGCTTAGTGCAGACCAGGTTTTATTTCATGGTTTGTATATAGATGACCATAATGACTATAGCCCTAAATATGACTTCAAGTAAGCCACAGGACCACAGTCCCCCAAAATATATTCCCAAAGGGCTACCTTGACAAGCCTTGCTCTCTAGGCCAGCACGCCTATGCTTTTGTTCAATCCTATGAAAAAGAGGGTGGACTCAGGTATCATTTTCATGAAGTGACTGTATATACTTGATATAGGAAAGAAAAAGCCTCTTTTAATTCCTCTCTCAACCGTACATTTAGCAAAGATAAGTTTACTAGATCTACTTGAATGAAAAAGAGGGCCTAGCCCTGACTGTGGGGGAAAGATTCTGAGATTTCAGATGTGGACCTTTCTGAGAGAGAGAGCAGAACAGTTGAAATAATTTCTCATTGAGAATCCATGATAAGGAAACACTCAGCAACATCAACAAGGTGGTGATGGATGCTGGAGTAGACCTCACTGCTGATTGTTATTTTTCCCAAAGCCTCACTGGCTTGGAAGCAACTTTTAACTGAAAAGTAGATCTGTTGCAGTTAGGAATATATCTTCATCAAATCTATGATTTTACTGTACACCCGTTCAGGAGCATCGAGGCCCCAGATGAAATCAACATGGTTCCAATCTGGCAACAGCTGGAAGTAATGAAGATTCCTGATTTGGGGGAGTATCCTGGCCACATCCTGGCTTGTTACAAGGACATCATTTCCACCAACCCAAACAGCAGTAGGCACTGTCATGGCAGTCAAGTCATACAGTGGAGGACGGCTCTATGGGAGAGAGAGAAAAGGCACTCATGAGAGGAAGCTCCTCACAGCAACAACTAAATTCAACTAAGTAGAAAGGTTATCAAATCAACATCTACCAACTCCATAGCTCAGCCAGGCACTGAGGGAAATAGGAAGGACATGTGCAATGGTCCTTATCTTCAAGGAGTTTGGAGAAACAAGGTCAGATAACCAAACAAACATTTGCATACAACATAGGGTATGATAAATGCCATAAAACACTCCATAAAGATAACAGAAGTGAAGACAAAGAAGAAATTATTCCCAACTAGGGGCTTCATATAAAAAAAAGTCATTTGAAATGGCTCTTGAGTGATGGTTGGATTTTGACAGATAGGAAGGAGGGTGGGAGGGCTTCTTAGCAGGCAGGAAGAGCATGTGTGGCACAGTCAGGAATGGCAAGCTGTCCAATGTATACCCAGAGAAGAAAATATTTGAAAGACTACAGTAGGATATAAGATTGGAGTCAGTCAGTCTAAATGTCAGGATAAGGTATTAAGACATGTTTCAGAAGTTTTGGGGATGAAGCGGGGCCATTTCTCAGAGCTCTACCTTAGGAGCGTTGTATGGGCATGAGTTTGTGAAATGACTTGAAGAAGGAATAGGTGACAGATAGGTCCTGAAAAAAATTTAGACAAGCAGTATGGGCGGTCCACAGAAGGGGATAATTGAAGCTATGGAGATGGCTAAATTCTCCAAGAAAGGAAGATAGAGAGATGTAAAGAGTCTTGGGGGAATGTTGACAGTTGGAGAGAGGTGGGAAATAGAGAGTAGCCAGTGCAGAGGGCAAAGAGAACAAACAAAAAGGGAAGGAAAGAACTTAGAGATCATTGAGTTATGAAGTCCAAGTAGAGGAGTGAGTAGCAAGGAGACTATGGTACCTGTTTGTTTTTCATAATGGACAGGAGTTCATTTAAGAAAATAAAATGAGTAAGAGTGAAGAAGAAATGAGAAGAGATGGGGTCAAGGGCACAAGACCAGGCGAACTTGGAAAATAAGAGGATCTTCATTTCCTGAGCCAGAAAGGAAGGGCAGAATCAAGAGGACAGAGACATTTTAGTTGGGTAAGAGGGAGGTTAAGAAATCTTATTCATGCAACAAATAAGTATTGAGGGCCTAGTAAATGCTGGGTACTTTGCTAAGTGAGAAAATATTGGTGAACAAAAGAGAAGAAAATCCTTACTCTCATGGAGCTTACATGTGTTAATCCTCTTATTCTTGAAAAAATAGAGTGGGCACAGAGATTGTGCTGGAAACATAAGGAGAGGGCAAACTGATGAAATTAAATGTAACAAAATTGACTTCAAATGATCTAAAATCACAAACAAATAAAACAGGATGGGCCTGGAGTAGGACAGGGCTAACTAACTATTGATAAATTCTCAGGACATTTACACCATCACATACTTATCACATTGTACACTTCAATCTTAAAATTTTATTTGCCAATTTTACCTTAATGAAGCTGGGGGGGGGGAACTAGATTATAACAGTCTTAACTGTGTTTGTGATAGTTTTTGTTCCATTTTCTTATAAATGTAAACAATATATAATATGCTGAATAAAAATAATGGATGACAACGGAAGTATGTAAATCCAAAATAGAACCTCCTTTACTCCATCATGTCCATTCACTTCATTCTTCCTTTCATCCCCTCTGAAGGTAATCACTTTAACATCTGTTGTTTATTTTTTTTCTGACCCTTTTCTAAGCATTTGTGAATATATGCATTTACAAATGTACATAGTTTGAGTGGCAGGAGCAAACTTTTGTGGTAATGGAAATGTTCTACAGGATCTTGATTGTGTTGTGGTTACCCAAATGAATATATTTGTCAAAGTTCATTGAGTTGGACATGTAGGAATTAATGAATGTTATTGTGTTTAAGTAACACTTTAATCAAGCTGGTGAAAAATAATAAAAATATGCATAACTCTTGCAGTTGTCTTAAGAGCTAGCAGAATCATTTATTTGATAATTCAACACATTACTGAGAAACTGACTAGTCTGATCGACTGTTTTGATGCTCAGAAGCAACTTAATTGACCTACATTTACACTAAAAATAGCTTTAAATGTGTCAGTCTGGGAAACCATTGGAAAAATTTAATTTAATGTGTTTAGTTCATACTGAGAAGCCCAGACTCAGACTTTGAGAAAAGAAATGATGGCGGCAACATTGATTAAAAGCACAGAAGGGCCAAAGGAGTCTATAAGTTTGGGTGTGTAAAGTTAAAAGGAAAAAGATGTCTTAGGACTCAAGTCTTCATGATGGATAACACTCTTTTAACATTCATGTGGTATCCCAATTCTTGCTGTTGGTATCAAGAAATGTGTATTCATTACTCTGTAAATTTTTGTAGATTTTTATAAAACAATTTTCATTATTATGTAGCCATTAAAAATTATGTTAAGCCCAGCGGTGTGGCTCAGTGGTTGAGCTTTAACCTCTGATGCAGGAAATTGCGGTTCAATTCCAATTAGGTTGCAGGTTCAATCCACAGCAGGGGGTGTGCAGGAGGCAGCCAATCAATGGATCTCTCTCATTGATGTTTCTATCTCTCTCTCTCCCTCTCCTTTCCTCTCTCTGAAATCGATAAAAATATATATATTAAAAAATTATGTTAAAAAACATCTTAGTAACATTGATTATGTCTTGCTATAACTATAAATAAAAAAATATTAAAAGTTAAGCTTTGTGATGCTGAGAAGACTGGAATAAATGCAACAAAATATTGATACATTGAATTATCTCTGGGTGGAGGGATTATATATTATTTAATTTCCTTAGCATAGACTTCTTTTTTTTCTAGATTTTCTTCAATGAGTATGTATTAAAATTAGAAAAGTTTTTAAAAGCTCTATCAATGTGAATACCGCCAATTGCCAGGTAGGATTCTTCTCACTCTCAAATTCTTATTATAATGTCCCAAAACCAGCCTTCTGGGGGCATTCTGAATAACTCACCTGGTTGTAGTGACGCATGTTCTCAGCTTCACTTCCCCAGTCGTAAGCTCTCAATTCATCAGATCGGTAAAGCTGAAATAAATGTGTGGGGTTTTTTGGCAATGTAATTCAGAATAAGAATCATGAATGTTAACAGCAAGTCTCAGGAAAACACTGTAAACTGGGAAGAAAGCAAGGCTTCTGGACCACTAGAAAGATGGAAATACATTTTTACCACTATGAAGACCAAGGTCAACAGAGAGAGAGCAATGATCTCCCTTGGTTTGAAGGAAAAGCTAATGGAAAACCAAAACTCAGGGGGAAGTCAAATCTCAGATATTTCTCTCTCTGGGGAAGGCTCACATCCCTGAGGCTTTCCCAGTTTACCTCTTGCTTTAGCTCAGGGACTATTTTACAAGCTCTGATTTAAGATGGGGATCATTTATGCTACCTATTTGGTCTACACCATACCTTGCCCTTTCTCTTAAAACCCACAGAAGTCAAACCTTTAAGACAGTGTCAAGGACAAACTGGAAACCAGCTGCTAAGCTTCTTCGAGCAGGCCTGCTAACTCTGTCCTTTCATGTATAATGAAAATAAGGATTGGAGTGGTTTTCCATGGTGAAGACACTACCTGTTTTATATGCAGGATGTTCTGTATCGACGATCCTGTGGGAGCGTGTGACATATACACGTCCATCCGACTCTGAAAGGAAATAAACCACATGTTGCAGCAAGAATCACCCACTGAAATAAACTATGTCTTTCAGAAAGAGAAAACAATTCTGCTAACAATTAGTAAACAAATACTGGGTTTCTGAAAATAATGAGGTGAATCATCCAGATAGATCTGAGTGTGTCAGCCCTTGTACGTGAGTGAACCGTGAGCAGGCCAGTGGCATGGGTGGTTGGAAAGCAAACTTGCCCTGGCTCTGGAACTATAAGATCATTTGTTTACTCTGAAGTAGAAGAAGCAACAACGGACTTCATGGAGGAAAGGAGTTGTGTGCAAGGGGGCAGGGGTGGCGGGGTGCATATGTATGGACATGCTCTGTTGCAGATCAGTAGAGCAAAACACCTGGATTTCAGGATCTAACTTTGTTAATTATAATCTTTGTGACTTTGGGCAAGTTATCTAACATCTCTGAGTTTCTGTATTTCCATCTATTAAATGAAGATACTAAAATTCATGCTACCAATTAGGAGGGCTCTTGAGAGAATAAAATAAAATATTGTAAAAGAAAAGCTAATAAACACTCATTTCTATGTGCAGTGTACTTCGATCTTTGTAAACATTACAGAGATATAATAGTAATCATAATATATCTCAGAATATAAGAAAACTAATCAAGAGAACTATTAAAAATCTATACCTTTGAATAAGTAGGCTTTGGACAACGGCCCTCATGGTTTTTAGTCTAACACAACCTAGCTTCGTAATGAACAGGAGTAAGGTGGGGTGGTAGAGAAATGTTTGGGGCTAGCTTTACTGTCACAGTCTAATTTGGCTGCCATTTGGAATGACAGAGACAACTTCCCAACAACACTCCCCTGCAGATGTCAACTCCTCCTCCTCTTTGAATTCTCAATAACAGGAAACAAAGAGTTGATGACACGGGACTGCTGCTTGTTCATAGAAAAGGGATTCCATTTCCATTCCTTTCTGTCATACTTTCTGAGTTAAAAGATGAGTTTTACTTGAGGCCAAAGTCGTCCAATATGCGAGGGCACACATGAAATAAGTTCAATGCTTGTATGTGCTTCTCTTCTTTTCTAGGATTTTGTTTTAATTTTATTAAATTTATTGGAGTGACATTGGATAATAGGGTCATTTCAAATGTACATTTCTATGATACATGATCTGTATATTGCATTGCATGCCCACCACCCAAAGTCAGATCATCTTCTCTCACCATATATTTGGCCCCCTTTGCCCTTTACTACCACCCACCCCGTCCTTCTGGTAGCCACCAGGCTGTTGTCTGTGTCTATGAATTTCAGTTATATTCTAGGATTTTATTTTTTAATGCACTGTCAAACTCACTGTAGTAAGTGATGGCTGATTATGAACATGTGAAACTAACACCCGTTGCAGAACACTCATTTTCCTAACCTTGACCAGGGATGGAAGGATGAAGCTGCCTTTTCATTCTTTTTCCCAACCTTCACATTCATGGTCCATTGAATTCCTAATCTATGCATAGCTAATCTCTGCATTTAAGGGCTTAGAATATCATATTAATTTATGTAGTGTAATAGATACATCAAAATAAATAAACAAAAAGCTGGAATTTCTAAAACATCCAATGGTCCCATAATCCTTATACATACCATATTCATATTTTTCCTGTTGTATCCAGCCCATAAGGACATTATTTCACTACATATCACCCATGATATTTTATTGTTGCAGATTTTGACAAAAGGTGACAGCTCTGAATTGTTTCCTAAAAAGAAACCTTTGGTACCAAAAAATTTCTGTAAAAATAAAAAATAATTATCTTTTCAAGAACTGTTTCCAAACTTTTCGACATTCTCATCATCACAGAAATAAGAATTCTTGGGGATCTATTTGTATTTGTATTTGCTGTTGCAGTCAAGGAGACCAAGTCATCCAGGCAAAGGAACTACTTATGAATCCATCTGCACCCAGGGAAGATCACCAGACATAATTTATAAAGAGGTTGCAGTGAGGGCCCTCCACCCCAAATTCGCATCTTCATGGTGAAGCTTCTCTGTATTCTGTAACCAGTAATTGGTTTCATTTTTAATTTCTCAGAAATTAGCAAGAAAAACAGAACAGTTTCTCCCTAAGGTTAAAGATTGCCTTGACTAAGAAGGAAAAGCAGGGTTTTCCTTATTACCCATGTGTGCATTGTTTTACTAGTAGTGTCCAGATTAGTTAGTTCTTATGCTGAAAAGTAGAGAATGGTGCACCAAAGAGGGGGTGCCAATGGACAGAAAAAAAATAGATGTCGTAGGAGGCAGCATGTTAAAACTTCTAGGGCTTGGGAAAGTAAGCCTGGGTGGGGAGTTTCTGATGAAAGGACTGGAGCTTCTGCAGGCAACAGATATTACAAACTGGCAGGAGGGGCCAGGGATGGGGGTCAAAATGGCAGGAAATTTGACAGTAGGAGGTATGAAGCAGATAAGCCAAGGACAATATTTTCCTTAGACCCAATCTTTGTAGGCAAAGCAATGCATATGCAAAGCTGGTGTGTTTAGTGATAGATGTGTCCATCTCGGAATTTAATTTACCTAATTTGTCTGCTCATTCTGTCCAAATATAGGAAACATCCAACACTGATATCAACACACTTTGCAACAGAACTATCGACTGCAGGAAGGGAAGTTACATCACTTGAGCTCAAGTAAGCAATGCAATCAAGCTATCATCAAACCAATCATTAGGTCCTATGGAAATTCTTCCTTGTCTTAGCTCAACAAATACTTTTTTTCCATTTCCACTGCTCTGCCCTAAACCAGGGCCTGATTTTATATGTAAATTACTGTGGTACCCTAATTGGTCTCCTTGCCTTCACTTTGACCAAAATTCATTTTACCCTTCACCCCAAACTTAAGGTGCAGTCTTGGTAAAAAGCTATGTTCATCTTGCCAATGACCTTTTAAAAGAAAGAAAAAACAAATAGAAAAGTAATTTTAATGGATAAAATTCCAAATTTACAATTAGCAATCAAACTGCTTTTCCAATCCTTGTAAAATAACCAATAAATATTTGGATACGTAATTGAGTTGTAAGACAATTAGTCTTTAGAATCATAGAATACTTTGGAAAATTAGTATTTACTTAGTACTAGAATACTTTAGTAAATTAGAACAAGAACCTGGATGGAAAGAATTCTATTATTCAAATTTATCTAACATCAAAGTCAGGGATGTCAGTTATCATATGAAACTAGAAAAATATCTTCCCTTTGGGCATTGTGCATTCATTGACCTGCCCAGTGGAGTAAGAAGGGAACAAGAAAACCTACGAATGAGCTTTAAATTGACATAGCACTCAGCTCAGCTAGCAATGTGGTGTATAGTCAGGTCTGCTAATGACTGAGTGTAGTAAATTGTATATGAGAACTCTGGATACTGTGGTACAGACACACACACACACACACACACACACACACACACACAAATAAGAACATGGTTGCAGAGCCTGGTTTCCACAGATTTTATCTAAACTTCCTACTTTTACTTCATCACAGATTTAAAAGTTATGAAGATCTATGATCCAAAACGAGACCCTCAAATATATTTTGGTGAAATGGGGAGCCTACCTTGATTGCGGAAGTTGGAAGTAGAAAAAAACTGGTAAAAATGCCCTTGGGATATTTGAATGAGGCCACAGGACTCAAGGCAAAATTCATTTTGATTCTTTGTGCCACCTCAGGCATGGTGGAAAAGGCTATAAACCCTGAGAGAACAGGAGAACAAGACAATCTTGTAAAAATGAGAAATACGCAGTGTTTCTATTAAGAAAAGTGGGACTCTGTCATTTGTATCTTTCTACTGTGATGATCTTGAAAATGAATTGGGAGACTCTTCTGAGTTATTCTGCAGAGACAATCTGTCTTCAGTCCTCTCTGCTCTCAAATCTCCCTTTTTAATTTTTTTTTAATTTTAATTTTTAAATTCTGGATACTTTAACTTGGTTGGGGAAAGTGAGAGATAAGCTGTTGAAACAACCACTTCCAAGTGAACTATGGACAACCTCACTTTGAAAGCATGGGGTGAGGGCTGGCAATGTGGTCATTTCACCCCCATCTCGGAGGTGCTGGAATGAGTCCCAGAGCTTCCAGAAGGAAAGAGTCAGTTCATGGGAGGTGAGTCACTAGGGTCTTTCTGCAGTATCATCGAGTTATTCCAGCTTCTCTTTCTCACAACGGAATGAGATTTCTTTACTCCCACTGCTTCACCTGATGCTTACCAACCCTCTAGAACTTATTCCTGCTTCCTAGAGGGAAGGGGATTTCCTTGGTCCACCGTGGTCCCTGGGAGAACCAGGCGTCTCCATTTGCTCTGATAATTAAGCAATAGCATTGCACCCGCTGCTAGCCCCACGAGGGTGAGGGTGAGGGTGGAAATCAGCACCACACAGAAGCAGCTATGTGGAGTTTCTGAGTTTGGTTCTCCAGGATGCCTTCTTGGTCCCCTCTGTTGTGTGTGTGTGTGTATGAGGGGGTAGGTAGGAAGGTGTGTGTGGCCATAGCAGAAGCTGTCCCCCCCCCCCGAAATTCTTATTGAAACTGTCCTGACCAAAAAAAGAGCTGACTTTGTATCAGTTGACTGAGCAATTGATGTAAGACTCTGCAACAGGCAAAATACTTCCCCCTAGATCTCTGTGAGCTTTTTGTTGGTCATACTGACTGGGGGCCTTATTATCACTTAGTGAGTTGGGGTCTGGGTAGCCAAATGCCTTGCAAAGAGTGGACCCTTCTGATGAAACAAAAATTGCTCTGCCCAATACGCAAATAATGTTCACTAAAATTTTATATGCCCTAAATGCAATGCAGATCACTGATAATCAAACTTTCCGTTTTCATTGCAGAACAGATACAAGAGCATATCTAAGTCCTACCCACTTTTCTAGACCCCACTCAAGTCATTCCTGCTCCATCCAATGCCCAAGCACCTCATGGATGAAGTCAAACTGACCTGGTATGTATCTCTGTTCTGTTTCTTATGTGCTAAGAGACCTTGAGCAATCCACTTAATTTCTTTGAATTTATGTTTCCTCTTCTGTGAGATAGAAATAATAATAATAGGATTCTTCTGAAGCTTAAAGAGAGATATTATGGGAAAGTTCCTAAACACAGGGTCCTAAACCTAGTAAATGCTCAATAAGTGTTAGCTATGATAGTGTAATTATTTACCTGTTAGTGACCATTGTTTTTTTTTTGGGGGGGGGGCATGGGAAAGGGGCATCTTCTATTAATTCTTTGATACTCTTATAGAAGAATGCTCTCTGATGCTCCCTGCCTGTTTTAAGCTTATAAGATGCCAGTCAATATAAAGCACTGGTAAATATATATTTGCTGTTGATAGTAATGGCAATTATGAGACAACTGTAAGAATGTTTACTGTCTCTTGCACAGTTTCACTCATATTTAATTTTCACATAATCTCTTAAAATTGGAAACTTCAGTGGAAGATCACTAGCAAATTCACACTTTTAACTGTCTGGATCCCTTTACATTTTTATTTGGAACTAGAGTATTGATCCTCCCCCCAAAAATGTAGGAAAACATTAAGAAGTATGTTTTCAAAGTCTTGGACTTTAAAAAAAAATTCTACATAGCTCTTACAGCTAATTGATATCATTCTATTCTATTCTATTCTATTCTATTCTATTCTATTCTATTCTATTCTATTCTATTCTATTCTATTCTATTCTATTCATTTATTATATGCTAAATAGATAAGCCCAGTTGATTTATTATAGTAAGCTTTCATATTTCAACTAAAAAAAGTGATCATATCTTTTCAATTTGTTCAAATATAAGTATAAGCTCCTCCCTTTTATTTATTTATTTTTTAAATCCCATGTGGGTTGTGAGGAAGATGTGATTATATTCTTAAGGGATTATTTTATGTCATTAGGCTTTACATTTTCAGCTCAGAGGGAGTCTAGAAACTTACTCTTTAGATGCTTCTTTGGATTTGGGGTACATGTTATTCTGGGAAATTACATCACCATTACAAATGTGTTGTTGTTGGTCAGAAATGGAGGAAAGATTTGGCTTATATACAGTCTCTGAAATTCAGGCTTATAGCCACTTAGGTTAAGCACAGGACAGAGAATTAAGGACACTATTCATGGCAATAACTGTTCCAATTTAAAGGTGAACTCTTGCAAGATTCTGACCCTTGTAAAACATTGACCTTTGTAAACATACCTACTGTAGTGCCAAGTGAATGTCCAATAAAATACAACTTCTCCTGCCCGGTTTTATTTACAATGAAGTCTATTGTTCCCGGGAGATCATATTTGGCCATTTCATCAAAACTGCAAAACAAAACGGGCTTATAAATACTCGCAAGTAAGTTTGAAATTCAGAGCATTTGCTCACTTACTTTTTACACTTATTTGGTGTGTATTTTATTATTTATCCAATTGTATGTAAGCTATTGTAGCTTTTGTTTGCTGCATTCATGTGGGTTACTTTCTAATAACAAGAATGATTTCAAGACTTGTGTATAGTATCTGAAGTTCACTCGTATCACTCCCTTCCATTGGGTTGGCTTCCCTTCCCTTCCCACAGCTAGTTTTTGTGCCTCTACTTTAGACTCCCCCAGGGGACTTAAGACACTTAGGGCCATTTTAATACCCCACTTTGGAAACAGAACTGGTTGTAAATCACAATTCTAGCAAGTACTACCTTTTGATTAGTTACTTAAATGCTCTAAGCTTAAGTTTCCTTATCTATGAAATGAACATGATAGCACCTGCTACATATAAGGGATGTTAGAAGGGTTGGATAGTATTAAAGAAGTGACTCTGGCTGCCAGTAAGCACCCAATTAGATGTTGCTGCTGTTAATATATATTCCTATCCGTATAAAGGAATATGTATTGAACGTGTACCCAAATCATATAGTACCAGTTCAGCTGGCATTAATACAAAACAATTAGTACATAACTTTTAGTTGAGTCAGGTCCCTCATGACTTAGAGGACTGCTTATTAGAACAGCATGTGAGGAAATCTCTAGATCTATACTCCCAAGTATGGGAATTGTGATGCCTTACAGTAAACAAGATCCAAGCTTCCAGCCAAGGACCAGTGACACAAAATATTTCCCGATGTTTGCCACACTGACCAAAAGCTTTGACCCTAACAATTTATTCTATCTTTCCTTTCTTCTCCGCCTGCCAGTGGGTTCTGGGCATTTCATTACTATGGCAGGAATGCCCACTCTGTTCTAGCAGCGGGCTTGCATATGAACAGGGAGCTTAGGCCTGTGAGGGGGAGGCTACTGTGGGCACCAGCCTGACCTCTGGTGGCAGCAGAAACCACTTTCACTGAAACTGTATCAGAGGATTCTTCTCCATTGCCCATTAATAAGGTTTGAAAGACCTCAAATTGGAATTTTTCTGTAAATAGAATCCTATACAGTTCAACCACAGTTTCTCTAAATAAAATACAGTACTGATACACATCACTGTGAAATCCATTGGCTGTCCGAGAGAAAAGACTTGTATTAGCAGCACTAGAATGAATAGAAGCTTTGTAAGGGCAGGGACTTTGTTCCCTCTTGAATGCTCAGGGCTACAGTAGTGCATATAGTAGGCACTCAGTAAATATTGAGCAAGTGCATACATTGGTCATAAGAATTTCCTGAGCTGTCTCTCTTGAGACATACCTTTAATGCATACATAGGATAGAAATGGATGTTAAAATAATCTTGTTAAAATGATATAATTTGACTATGGAAGAATCAGTGGGAATCAAAGCTTCTTGCTGTTTCTGTCCTTTGAGATGTTACTACAAAGAGCGTGACTTCAAATATCATAGATTGTTATTCACATCATTCACACTATTATATTCAAAGAATTTGTCTCCAACTTGATACGGTTTACCTAAAGGCCCAGAATTTCTCTTCAGTCACTGACAGTGTTTTGTGTTTTCTTGACCAAGTGTTTCCCCGACTGTTCCCCATCCAGACATCGTAACCTGCATCTGCGAGAATGAATCCGAGGCTTCCGTTGGCATAATTGTCAAGCCAGGAGGCATTGTCTATAAACAGGGCGTGCTGCATGTACACAACTGGCCGGGGACCTGGAGCGAGGGAGGAAGAGAGAGGAGAGATAGATAGACAGAGAATGAGAAAATAATTTATGATAAATAAAGCATCTCAGGAACATGATAGAAACATACACATACAAACACACACACATATACACACATGCACACACATGCCCCACACCAGAAAAAGCAAAAACCAAAAACAGCACTCACTTTTCCCTGTCATTAGTGTAGGGCTATATGATCACATAACAAATTTCTTGAGCACATACTTTGTACCTGGTGTTACACTGACTAACTGACGATGCTTGAGCTTATTCAGTTCTTGCAATAACTCTATGAAGTAGCTACTATTTTGGCGATCCTTGTTTCACAGGTGTGGATACCAAGACTTAAGCTAATTAAGTAGCTTTCCCAAGGGGTGACACAGCTAACAAGGTACAGAGCCAGGACTCAAGCTTGGTTCTGTTTCATGCCAAAGTCTGTGCTTATAACTGCCCTGCTCCATGTTTTCATATTTACATATCTTCTGGGTTTGGCTTACAAAGACATGAAAGTGATCACGTTTAATAGAGTCCTGTGCCTCTTCCAGGGAGGAAGAGGGGGTGAATGTAAATGGACAATCACTAATTTCCCACCAAGCTTCTAACTGAACACCCAGCCTCTACCCACTGGAGAGCATTTGAAAGTTACAATAGTAAAATCAGTTCAACACCCCTCTGCCAACTCTCAAATTCCCAATGGAGAGCATATTCACTGGGGGTGATGGGAAGGACCAGGGTGAAATGTTCCCAAACGGCACAATAAATTCATTGTTAAGAGCACAGACTCTGGATTCAGGTTGCCTGAGTTTGGATCCTGGTTCTGTCACTTGCTATTTGTGTGACTTCAAGTCTATTTCATAACCTGTTTGCCTGGGTTTCATCATCTGTAAAATTATAACTATTAACAGTATTGATCTCATAGGGCTGCTGGGAAGTTCAACTGATTTAAATCAATATAAAGCTTTTGGAACAATACACTTTTAGAATTACTTTTAATTCCAAATCTTCCCAAATTCTCCCTCCTGAAGCAAAACTTTTCCTTACAATTTTTTTCTCCTTTTGTATTTTATAGTTCCTTCTCCCCCAAGCCCGAAGGAAATTTAATTTTGCCAAAAACAAACAAAAAAGATAAAGAAAAAGACTGAAGAAGCCCTATTTAATTTGAATTTCAGATAAACAATGAATAATGTTTTCATTTGAGTATTATACCCTCAAGTGAGACATAGATGAAAAGTTCCTTTGTTGTTTCTCTGAAATTCATATTTAACTGGGTGTCTCATGTTTTGACAGATAATCCTACTCACATCACACTCCCCCTTCCTTTTTTTAAAACTCTTAGATTACAAATTTCTTTCTGAGAGGGAGAAAATGTCGAACAACATGATTATAGCTGCCTCTGAACATGGATGTTGAGAGAGATGATGCAAAATGGTCATGATAAATGGTTTGCCACTGAGGTTTTGCAGAGATTTCGCTTACTTTTCTCTCTCCCTCCTCAGAGGCATTTCCCCCTCTGCTGTGCATGGCTAGCTACTCATTCTCCAATGAAGCCATATTAACAAACACCATGCTCTTTCATTCCACAAATCATTAGTCCCTTAGGTTAAAGCATATGTGAATGTTAAAGTTTTCTTTCCTGGAAAAAGTTTCAGAAATGCCAATCATTTAAGTTGAATTTTTAATCCAGAAGAGGGAGGCCTATTAATTCTAGTGAGGGACCAGAGAGACTCTTTGAGTACACCCTACGGCTAACTTTATACAACCCAGCAAATCCCTTTCCAACAGTAAGGAAATCCACTTTCCTGGAATACAGCAATTTATCACATGTGTCACAGGAAAATTCACTATGAGCTCACAAAATGTAGGCCCCACCTTTGCATTTACACCCTAACAAGCAAGCCTAGTTGCAGTCAACAAGACCAGTCTTGCCCTTTGTATTTTTAGTTTCTTGCGGTATTCAGAGAATTGAAAAAGAATGAGACTCCCTGTTAACCATTTAAAGAGTAATGCAAAATTCAAACAAACTTTGATGAATCAGTCACTCTCTTAAAGAAAAGCCAGCATTACATTTTAGTTATATCCAGTCCTTCTTATCAGGAGAGACACAACTCGTACCTGTGCTTTTAGTGTCTCTTCGCCCATGAGGAATTCTGTTGATGTTGAGGATGTACCCATCTTGAGTGATGACTTCATACTCTTCACTGGGGTAGCCATTATAGGTGATTACTTCGCTCTGCCCAGTGAAAACACAGGCATTAGCTAAACATCTTCTAGAAAGGTTATCAAAAAAAATTAGAACAAAGTGTCTGGTGTATGCTTATAGGGGTAAATTGTCTGTAATCTGTAGCCCCAGGTAACTGTAAGATTAATTTATTACATAAAGTCTTGATAAAAAAGTAAGTAGAATATTAGAAAATGTCTACTATTGGCATTTTAAGGGAGTGGGGAGAGAAAATATTTAACATCGATCCATTCTTTTGACAAAACTATATTCTCAAGTCAATTGTCTTTTGAGATCCTTATTGGTTTAAAGATAATAAAATCATAGCCCAGTAGAGAGCAGTTATAAATATCATCCAGGTGGCTTAAAATATAAATTTTGATATTATTAAAATATTGTCTATAAAAATACAGTTCTGCTTTGCATTACTAGAAAGTACTATTTATTCAGCCAAAAGAGCAGGTTTAACTAGCTTGACTCTTGGAGAAATGTTAAAAATCACCTGTTTTATCTGTTTCCTTATCAGAGATTTTCAGCTACAACAGGACCTTTAATAATTTTATAACCCATTAATCTGCTTTATTTGATGTTCTCCGGAATTTTCCATGACTTACAATATTCATGAACACTTCAGGATTTGCTTCATTTTCCAAATTAAAGAATTTATCAGCCTTTAAAGTTCCACAAATCAAACAGGTTGTTGTTAAAAACAGCCACATCATGCGAATGCCTGACATAAAACATTTAATAATCACAGATTAATTTTATACATCAGAGTGGATTAACAAAATGAAAATAATACCCTAATAAAAATTTGACTAACATCCTGAGAAAGCTGAGAAAAGATAGAAGGGAACATAGATAGTGAGCTAACTCTGAGCATTATTAAACTATTTTTTCACATAAAAATACCTTGACATAGTCCAGTTCTAAAAATAAAATGAATTTAATCTTGTGAAATTTTAGTCTAAAATGAATTTATTTTTTTTGTCTTATTTTTATAAAAAATTTTCAATTATTTTAAGTCTTTACTCACCTATGAGTTGCCAGAAAACCTAAAGATTCACAGGACATGTGTCCACACCATGGCAAAGCTAAAAGTGGAGATATCCTATAGTCTAGCCCAGCATCCCACAAAACAAACAAGAACTGAAGCTTCAACCAAACAAACAAGCTTACAATAGGTTTCTAGTGATGTGATTATTTCCTTTGTGAACACCCAAAGGCAAATTTTAAATAAATGTGCAACCTATCCTCTTTGGCATCGCTTAAATCATGTCTCCTCAAAGGCAAGACCACATCGTCTCAGTGCAAAGAGCTCATCATATGAGAGAGTGCCAGTGGCCTGAGTTGAAGTTCAGGCTCACTACAAACAAGATTCCTAGCCTTGGGCAAGTTATTTTTAGTGGCTTTATCTCTTGGTTTCTTTGATGGTAGAGTGAGGATAATAATGTTACATGGTTATAGAGAAGATTATAGGTTAGAGAGAAGACTATGTGGCATATAAAGCACTAAGCGCAATGTAAGCTCTTTCACTGCACAATCAATGAATAAGTAATATCAGAGAGCCTTTGCTATAACAGATTAATGATGGACTTCTAGAAATTCTGAATTTACTTTTGAAATGAAATAACTTTCCATACATTTGCTATCTGGTTGAAGACAATTTTATATCTGTAAATGTTATATAATTTTAAACATTTTTGAAAAGAATAGTAACTAATATTTATTGAATGCTTGGCTTGTGCTGTTCTAAACACTTCACATATGTTATTTAAACCTCAAAGAAACTCCATGAGGTAGTTACTGTTATTATACTCATTTTTATCAATGAAAAAAACAAAGGCTTAGAGAGATTTAAGATCTGCCCAAGGTCACAATCGACAGAACAAGGACAAGAACGCAGACAGCCTCCCTTCAGAGCCCTGACACCTGGTTGCCATGCCCAGCTGCCTCCTGGTTGTGATAAATCTTGATTTTACCTGTTACCAAGGAATCCTATGGATTAGGAACTTCTGATCTTCGGCATGTGACATCAGGTTGAAGAATGAGACGTGGATGCAGTGACAGTTAGAAACTAGACAGATGAGAGACAGGAAATCCGTGGAAATGGGGAAACCCTGGACTATGACACACCCAGGGCGTCTTCCTAACACACCAAATGCCACAATGCACTTGTGGATTGGGAAACAATGGTTTATATGATGCCAGATAACCAGTTTGACTGAGTCCTTATGTTTCCACTGAGTGTCTATTGCTGTTGGGAGGGTTCAGCAACATTTTGAAACCAATGAGTCAAATGGTGAAGTAAAATGTATTCAGGATCCTAATACAATAGATCAGACATAATAATAGTTACATTCTCAATCTTACAGCATTACTGTGAGGGTCAAATGAGGTGATATACAATTGACCCTTGAACAACTCGGGATTGACCTGCATGGGTCCACTTGTATGCAGATAATTTTCAATAAATATTGTAAATGCATTTGCTCTTCCTTATGATTTTCTTAATAACATATTGTTTTTTTCTCTAGCTTACTTTATTGTAAGAATACGGTATATAATACCTATAGTGTGCAAGATATGTATTAATTGATTGTTTATGTTGTCGGCAGGCTTCCTGTCAATAGTAGGATACTAGTAGTTAAGCTCTGGGGGAGTCAAGTGATAGATTTTCAACTAGGTAAGGATTCAGGATCCCTAATCCCCTTGTTGTTCAAGGATCAATTGTATGTGAAGATACTGATGTCAACCATCTAGTGCAGCGACTTTCAACTTGGGTGCCACAAGAATTTTTAAGACATGCAAGACCTGACTATTTAGAGAGGGGCACTGACCTCATTTCCCTTAGATTGTCAAGTAAAAGAAAAGACAACAGCCAACACAATAGCCATCCAGTGTGAATGCCTAATCTTGAACCATAAATATTTAGATCATATAATAGAGCTGGATCTTATTGGTCATGTCACATAATAGGATTGAGTCAGATTGGTTAATTCTTGGTACCAGAAATCCTTATAGTATACATATATTGCCACCTGGTTTTTTTTAAATCACTTGGAGCAGAAAGGGTAGGTTATTACTATTTTTTGTGTGTAAATCAATGGAAGTTATACCTATTTTTTTTGTCAGATCAGCAAATAATACATTTTTTGGTGTGCAGCAGAATTTTAGTAATTAGTTTATGTGCGCCATGAGATAAAAAAGGTTGAAAATCACTGACAGTGTCCAAGGATGTGACTGATTATAACTAAACTGACAAGCTGAGGCCATCCTGACTCCCAATTCTTGAGTCCAGGAAAAGTTTGGAACTAGCAGTGTGGCAGAGGAAACTGAACATATTGCTAAAGGGGTTCACTGCGCTGCCAACGTTGGCAGCAACCACTGTGGAGCTGACCCACAAACCATTTAGCTGCTGCCTTAAACAAGGTAGAGGTGGAGACCTAAGCAGAATGAAGACAATTTAGCTCTAAGCCCCACCTGATGCTAGATAACGGAGGAGTATGTACCTCAGTTTTCTACTTCACTTTGCATGCCTGGAGAGCCCAAGCAGTAAGGAAATTCCTTCCATTTTCTAACAGGAAGAAGGGTAAAGTTGCTACCCAGCATGGTACAGGAGCTTTAGTTCTTTCAGTTTGGACTCATTCTCAAGTTCTTTTAAAAACAAAGGTAAGAGAAATAAACCAGGCAGAGAAAGACAAATATCACATGATCTCACTTATATGTGGAATCTAAAGAACCAAATAAACTGATGAACAAAATAGATCCAGTGACACAGAAGCATGGAAGGGGTGGTTGACTCTCAGAGGGAA